ATGTGTACCTGTGGGAGTTATGCTTGTCTTAACACTATGACAATCGGTAGTCTATGTGTACCTGTGGGAGTTATGCTTGTCTTAACACTATGACAATCGTTAGTCTATGTGTACCTGTAGGAGTTATGCTTGTCTTAACACTATGACAATCGTTAGTCTTTGTGTACCTGTTGGAGTTATGCTGTTCTTAACACTTTGACAATCGTTAGCCTGTGTGTACCTGTGGGAGTTATGCTGTTCTTAGCACTATGACAACCGTTAGTCTTTGTGTACCTGTGGGAGTTATGCTGTTCTTAACACTATGACAATAGTTAGTCTATGTGTACCTGTTGGAGTTATGCTGTTCTTAGCACTATGACAATCGTTAGTCTATGTGTACCTGTTGGAGTTATGCTGTTCTTAACACTTTGACAATCGTTAGCCTGTGTGTACCTGTGGGAGTTATGCTGTTCTTAGCACTATGACAACCGTTAGTCTTTGTGTACCTGTGGGAGTTATGCTGTTCTTAGCACTATGACAACCGTTAGTCTATGTGTACCTGTTGGAGTTATGCTGTTCTTAGCACTATGACAATCGTTAGTCTATGTGAACCTGTGGGAGTTATGCTTGTCTTAACACTATGACAATCGTTAGTCTATGTGTACCTGTGGGAGTTATGCTTGTCTTAACACTATGACAATCGTTAGTCTTTGTGTACCTGTTGGAGTTATGCTGTTCTTAGCACTATGACAACCGTTAGTCTATGTGTTCCTGTGGGAGTTATGCCGGTCGTAGCGCTGGGATAGCTTTAAAGAGTCATGGTTTAACGTGTTTTCAACTTAAAGCTAGAGATTGGTGAGTCGTTTCGCAATGAAGCCTATGTTGACATTTGCATGTTGCCTATTTTCGGAATACGTGTCATTGTGTTTACAGGTTTATATTTCAATATGAATGGCTCATCAGGACACGATTTGAGTACTGATATGTAAAGATAACAATTCACCAGTGTGTGAATAAATAGCGAGGTTTCCTTATCTAGCCTTCTTTTCACGCTGTGAGTCTGGCTTGAGTGAGGAACACAGTTGCTATATATATTACTCGATGATAGATGACCAGTCTCTTTTGCCTCTAATATTGACATACAGTAAGTCTCATTGTCTCCAATCACCAGAAGTACATGTGCATGTATGTATATATACAATGACTTCATGGGTCAGTACATCAGTAGTGATCATGACGTAGCAGCTAGCCCTGGAGAAGGTGCCAGTGTTTCAAATGTCTAATACCCTCGATTATCAAGTACACCTTATCCCAACTCTACTGTGATAAGTGTCCTTTACCCATTCGCTACTTTTACCATTTCGCGACTTTTACCCATTTGCAATACATGCGACAGTACTGAACTGGGGATACTGTTGACATGATGACACACAAACGGCTGAACGAATAAACTGATTCTGATTCTGATTCTACAGGTGGACAGCGACTCCAGTCTTTGAACTTCCGTCGGGGAACAGATGGTGACGTACAAACTGGTACTCAGTTCGGGAGTATCTCTCAGAGAGTATGTAATATCAAGCTTACATACTTGACTGTTATACTGCCTCAAAAAGTATGTTACAACACGTGCAACATGAGGGCGGGCACTATCCTGTTGCACTGTGATGTTACGTCACTGCATTTGCACAAAGGGGGGGAACATGATCCCGAACGATGTCTTCCCGGTAACGTACGCCTTTCAAATTGCCATTAACAATGATGAGTTGCGTCCTCCCGTGAGTTGTGACGGCACCCCATGTCATTACACTTCCACCGTTCAGTAGATGCAACAATTGAATACGGTTGTCTTGTTGACGTGACGTCACACGCGGACGACAGACCCGCGGTTAACGTCTCCAAAGAGATGATATTGTGTTTCGACGAACATTAAAATGTCTGTCAAGTTCGTTTCGCGCCATTCTTGTTTGCAGCAAGCCGTGGCATTGCGTAAGCATTATTTACGGCTGAACTAAGAGTTTTATGAACAACTGGTAGATGATCATAGTGTGCAGATCACATTCAGAAACCACGTGTGTGAGTATCATGTTCCCAACAAACAGCAAACATCCCAATTGTGCATCATGCATGAATAGGCACGTGCAAATTGTGAATCACGACCTAAAAGTCGAGACGATGCTTCATGAATATGTTTTGAAAATGCGTTATTTAATTTCAGAATAAATCTATTTTTATTGAACGTTATATGAAGCACAGTTACTTTTTTAGGATACAATAAAGGCTCAAATGATTGTTTGTTACCGCCGAAAAAATTACCCGAGGGAAATTACCATTTAATATGCGTAAGCAATAAAAATAAAAAGGGGCGGTCCCTCAATCTGGAACCTCGTTCCAAGAGGTAAGGTTCACTGATACATCGGTCAGGTGTACCTGTTCAGTCAAGAGGTAAGGTTCACTGATACATCGGTCAGGTGCACCTGTTCAGTCAAGAGGTAAGGTTCACTGATACATCGGTCAGGTGTACCTGTTCAGTCAAGAGGTAAGGTTCACTGATACATCGGTCAGGTGCACCTGTTCAGTCAAGAGGTAAGGTTCACTGATACATCGGTCAGGTGTACCTGTTCAGTCAAGAGGTAAGGTTCACTGATACATCGGTCAGGTGTACCTGTTCAGTCAATGTTTATGGGCCTTCATAGGAAATCATGAAATTCGCTCTTTTTAGCGTAATTCACAAAGTTGCAGTATTTTTTACAAATCACCTTCAGTCACTGTCATCACTGGCACAATTCGAGGTCAATTCATGAAAAGGTGTGCCAAAAATATTATATTTATTAGTACGTGTGCCGTGGAGGTAACAGTGCACATGTCAGTCAGACAGTGCATATGTGCTCTGTGATCTCCGTGGCACTACTCAGGTATCTGTCACTTGACACAAGCGGTGGCCTGTGATCTCCGTGGCGCTACTCAGGTATCTGTCACATGACACAAGCGGTGCTCTGTGATCTCCGTGGCACTACTCAGGTATCTGTCACATGACACAAGCGGTGGCCTGTGATCTCCGTGGCGCTACTCAGGTATCTGTCACATGACACAAGCGGTGCCCTGTGATCTCCGTGGCACTACTCAGGTATCTGTCACATGACACAAGCGGTGCTCTGGGATCTCCGTGGCACTACTCAGGTATCTGTCACATGTCACAAGCGGTGGACTGTGATCTCCGTGGCGCTACTCAGGTATCTGTCACCTGATTCCTCACAGGCATACTGCGGACCTGCGAATGTTTTGCACAAATATGTCAAGTCCGACTGGTGACAAATGAACCCCGTCATGTAGAATTGCTGGTGTTGTTGTTTGAAGGCCTGTATCCCCCCTCAAACTCACGGGCCCCGTTCCCTGTTCATCTATTAGCTTACCCATCAGTGACTGCAAAGCTTTTCGGGTGACTTCGTGCTTACCAGGGACCAGCAGATCCTGTATAATCGTGGTGATACCTACAAGTTTTGTCTGTGGTATTCTGACCTGCATCCTGACTGTGTCGATTTCAAGACCTGGGAATGTGAAGCAAGACGCAGGACCTACCGTCTCCTCATGTGCTACGGGTACGCCCAGCTCCTGGAAGGTACTGAGGCATGTATCAAGGTTGTCACCGCACTCTCTTGTCCCCTGCAGTTCCGCCTGTGAGAAAATCATCGAGGTAATGCATAAGCTGGCGGTTAGGCAACTTTTGCTGAACACACCATTGCAAAAAGGTGAAACACTGAGCATGTGGAGCAGCCAAATGGCAAGATTATAAAAATAGCCGAACGTGTCTAAAACCAACAAAGCCATTTCTTTTGAAATTACTTTCAGGCCACAATTCACATCCTGCAATTGAGTTATATCAACCCCAAACTGTGTAACTTTTGACCATGAACAGATTTTGAGCATCCCATGACAATATAGTGCTGAGCAATCCTTCCATCAGCTGTTGTTTGTGTGAAGGGAAGTCAGAATATGCCTGGGAACCTCTATATCAAGATGGTCCTTAGAGATGGCATTGAAACACCCAGCACTGACGGAGAATGACTTACATTGTTGTGGGGAGTAACAAAGGAGAGGTTCGGGTGTTTCTCCCTGGGCCCCTCACTACAAGCTGGTTTAGGCGGCAGTGGTGGAGACTTGGAGCCATTCATCCGTCACTGATATGAACACTTTGGGCTAGTTTTAGGGACTACTTGATCGGGCATGACCTTGAACTGCGAATTTATAACAGCTGCATAAGATTGAGATTGGCTGTTGATCCTAAATTTGTGGGCAGCCTCCACATATGAAATGTTGTTCACAACCCTTGGTGTGTAGAACGTCAAACATGAACATATGCCAACAAGCCTAAATAGGTCTGAGTAGGTTGACAATGTGATTAACAGACTGAGTTAAAGAACATGTTGTTTAAGCCCATGCCACACCGACTGGGTGCTTTTATGAGACGAAAAATGGACAACGTCTACATAAAGTAATGAAAAGTTGAAAGTGATGGGAAAAGCTACCCAAAACACACGCCCGATCGTGATCATTGGTTTAGCCCATGCAAGCGCAATACATGACAAGTAAGGGTCAATGTGGTTATAAAACTGAATTGCACGCTTGGAAGTTGAACATGCGCAGTTTTAGCACTTATTATTCTATCTAAGCAGAAGATTAAGACATTCGGACAGTTATATGAAATACAAAGGCTATCCACATAAACCTGTCACTACATTATAGGAAACTAACCATTTCCTCCAGCTTTTCATACATAAAAAAATTGTATTATAGTATATCAAATGTAGCAGTTTGAAACCCTATTTAGTCCCAAAGTCTTAACAAACATGACCAAAGAACGTTCCCCTAAATAAGCCTAGTGTTTAGTGGAGCATACCATAGGATAACATATCTTAGTTTCCTCTGAAACCGCCACCGCCAGATAACTGCCGGGTCACGTGACAGAAACTAGCCTGTATATGACGCCGTGCAGGGAGGAAGTAGATAGAAGCGGTGCTGCAGGCGTGGGGTGTTGTGTGGATATCACCAGGAAGGTAGGGCCCGGGGTAGCAGTGGCTCAGACAATGTCCTTCTATATTGCTTTAGTTCATATACTCCATAGAATTGGAAGGTCGTCATCTAAATGAATATAAACAACAAAAAGGATTTATAATTATATGTAATTGTAAGCAAGTGAACACTTCAACTTGTAATAATTTGTGTTCATACATGTAATAATTTGTATTTATACAGTTTGAAAGGTTGAATTCAAAATAACACTTTTTAACAGATTACCAATAAAAATTTCGCCTGAAAGACACACTCGTCTATTTTTAGTTCCTGTCTTGTAGGTCCAAACATTCACAACATATTCTAATGTCTTATTGGAACAGAGGACGAGGCTGACAAACTGATATGTTAGTTCATATGATATGTTGTTTGATTATCATCAGTTGCTTTGTCCAACATGGAACCCTGTAATAAAATGAATCTATACATGACTATATAGAAGGTCTCATTACTAGTGTCAGGGGCCAGTACATCGTAACTCGCGTAGCCTTTAAACTCAGAAATCCATCCAATCAACGCAAAGGTATTCCTACGTGTAATATTTCCCTTTCTCCAATCAGTGTTGATAACACAGCCAAATACAAATAAATTCAGGTACGGTATTTAATTACGAGAAATTGTTTATTTAATTTTCGAAATCTGCATGTATTGGCTGATGAATGTTAGTAAATGGCATGGCTGTCATCATACATTGCATACATTTCTTAAATCAATTGATAATATACACACTCGTGATAATGCCTGTGCCATTCCAGATCATTATTCGCATATTGTTATAATCTTCCCATGGTGTAAACCAGTTCCTTTAAGAAAAACAAACAGATTGTGACAAATTTGATAAACAAACCTATTGGAATTTCTACATTTCAATTTGAATAGTGTGCATTGTAATAGGACAAGACGGGATGTTAATATCCAACACGTCAGACAGTCGTGTGTTGTTAAACCATACCATATACCATTGATGAGTTGTTATACCATACCAGATACCATTGATGAGTTGTTATACCATACCAGATACCATTGATGAGTTGTTATACCATACCATATACCATTGATGAGTTGTTATACCATACCAGATACCATTGATGAGTTGTTATACCATACCAGATACCATTGATGAGTTGTTATACCATACCAGATACCATTGATGAGTTGTTATACCATAGTCAGCTGCCCGGTTAGTAGTATACCAATGTGGTCAGAGATGTTAGCCAGCTGCAGTGTGTGAAAGCCTGGAACTGGTCACTGGGAACCAGTACTCACCTGTTCTTTCAAACATCTCGCGAGGAAAGGAACTAAAGACTCAATGTTTACACAACGTCTTGTAATATATAGAGGACAATGTGTCAGTCTGGAGTTAGGTGTGAGGAGTTCACAGTAGTTCTCTGTGTGTTGTTTGTGAATGTACATTCATAATGAGTTGTTTGTGATCATCTGGTGATGTTAAGTATTACTCATGGTTGTTGCATATATCTGAGAAGACCAAGGGGGTTTGACGACATGTGTGTGAACGCACCGACTCCGATGTTTAGGGACATTCAACTGGTGTTCTGAGCTATGAATTTACTTTAGCGTTTATTTGTTACATATTTCATATCACCTTGATGAATGTATTATGACACACTGTCACAGTGACTGACTTACTGTGGTACTTCTTAACAAACTGTTATCTAATGATGACAATGAAATCTATGTGACCAAACTACAAAGGGTGTACTGAATGACAATGTGTGAGCACATATACATGCTCCTATATTCTTCGTGTGAAGAATCTATATATTTGCGCGATACAGTCGTCCGTTATTAGGCTGTCAGTGAACACCTGGAATTGTGTAAGAATCGTACCAACTACCAAGTAGTGATATAAGGAATAGGATTTTCGTAGACAGGATGACTGACTTTCACCTTGTGTGTGTTGATTGGAATGAGACACTTCATATAATGAGGGTTTAATCACTTATAAAATAGCAATAATAGTACGCTATACTAAAAGCACATTTTGTAAAAACATACCTTTGAAAAAAGTAGGTAATAAGAATATGTTGCACATGTGTGTATAGGGATGTACGGTGTATTAGTCAAATTGTAATATGTAAAGCGTTTCACCAATATTTGCCGAATATTTACTCAAGTCGGGAGACTGGAATTTGAAACTCCAACCCATGTTCGATTCCAACCCATGTTCGATTCGGCACAACCTTACAGTCGGTGATAGTGTTAATTATACAAGCCCATGATCGATTGTCCGATAAGTCATACATGATATTGGTATATAAATAACTTAACCACGACAGATAACCACCTCATGTGGTATAATCTATGATAACCTATATCATGCGTTGGCATAGTTAGTGGTTGTAGAACCTGCAACTATCAGTATACGTGGCTCCCAGCTGAGGGGGCGTGTAATGGGAGGAGTGCCGCCGGCGCCTACATCTAGGTGCTCCAATCAGCCCGGACGTGATGTAGCACCACAGGGGTATCATGTATTGAAGAGCCTTTTCGTGAATACCCCCATGTTTGTATCATATGTAAGTAATTATAAGCGAATGACCCATTGAAGTCAACCAGCTGTATGAAGGTGTGGCCTAGTGGTTCCTGACACGGATATACTGGGAGAAGACAATTATTCGTGCCACCCCGAATCCAAACTCCACCATCACTCATCAGGGACCGCTGATGTTATAGTCTCTAGGGGGCCTGGGAGTTAATTTGTTTTTGATAAACATTTGCTAAAAAAACCCACTAAAATACAATTTTTCCTCAGGTTTCACCCCTAAAAATATTTGTCAATAGAAAAAGCGTGTGTCCCAAACAAATTGTACGACTACTCTTTTGGACTGTAAAGAACTGCGTGTTTTGAAGCATTGACCAACCTCCAACTTTCCTCCATAGGGGGTGTAGGGTAGGACAGATAGACCGAGGGCGAAGCCCGAGGTTTATCAGTCTAACCTACAACCCCGCGGTCTTTCGACACGCATTCAGACTAAGTCCGAGTACCTTAACCGACTTATAAACCGAGGAAACAAATAAGTATTAAGATGAGATGAACTAAACAGCAAGGTTTGAAAAAATCTACCCCCTCATTAGAAATGAACTCGGCTAGCAATCATGATGCGTTTCATAAAGTCATGCAGAATAGAGGGGTAGTGTTTTCTCTGGCTTATAAACCGTCTAAATGACAGGAATAACAGCAACAAATAAGAAAACATCGGGATACTCTATAGTGAAACAAAATAATGTGTCGCGGTATGAAAGGATTGCGATCAAAGCGAGAGAAAATAAACACCTGCAGCATAGATAAAACAAAGTTATGACCTCTAAAATTGAACAACCTTTCATCACCTGCCCCGGTGGCTCGGTAGGAAAACAGTGGGTTATAAAACTTAACATGGCATGTGCCTTTGCTGGTTCGATTCCATAATGAAAAGGTTTCATTTCTTGTCTTCGATTTTCAGAACAATGGACGTTTGAAACACATTCCAACTTTCATCTGCTTTCCAACTCATCAGGTCTCTCTTCTAAAAAGTAAAATTTCATACCCGGGCGTAGCATAGCAAGTATGTTTGATTGGTTTGAAGGCTGTTTGGACAGGTCTTCCTGGAACTCTAAATGGTCTCTAAAGGTCACAAAGACCCCATCTCTAATTCCCAGAGAGGCCTAATGATCTCAGACTTGACATCGCCGAGTTTATGGTATTGTGCGCTTTTTATGGTGCGCTAGATCACTTGGCCATCCGTAAAAAGGCGTTATTTGATACTAACTAATATATATTCACGAGATTATTTTTAAAAATCTTTTTTTACCCTTCCCTTAAACAAGACGCTCATTTGCATATGTATTCTTATCCCTTTTTAGGATGAACATTTTTGAGGTCCTGCTACTCCTATTGGCCTTCTCTTGGCAGGTACGTACAAATGTGCCTAAACACAAATATAGGCCTACTTTTATGTAAAGAATGACTATTTTGTCACGTGAGTGGTAGTTGCATTTAAAAAAAGTTCTTGAATGTAAACAAGAAAACCAGTAAAGTGTCCTTCTTGGCTGAATAAAAACAGGAATTAACATTAAAATCTCTTACTTTTCTGGAACGATATCTGGTAGTAAAACTTCCTTAAAGAAGAAATAAGAAATTCGATATTTGCAGGTATATATTAGGATAAGGAGTCAGCATAACAATCTATGGGAATTTAGTGAATTCAGAAGACTCTACATCGCTGTACATTTTGACAATGATGACCCTTGTACTGTTGTTGTTGGAAAGCACTAAACGAAGTCCGAATTCCTTATAGCGCGATACAATCGCTTAGACTGGTAACCTGTTACCTACCTTGCTGACTGCGCTTAGCAACATAGGTACTGTGTTACTAATAATGTGCTATTGTTTCGACATTTATGTGCAGCTATTTCAATATTATGGATGTTAATATATTCATTTAAAGCGTAAATAAAATTTTCGAATTGATTCACGTGTAAGAATTGTGTCACGTGTCACGGGAAGATGTTTAACTAAACGTTTTTAATGACGTCATAACAGGAGAAAGAAGCAGCAGCATCAACAAAAACAGCATCAACATCAACAACACCAGCACCAACACCAACACCAGTATATACGGTTGGTACGTGTGACTATACTATGACCAATGGACTGTTCACCCCTGTCAGTTTGCTGTAGGTAATTAGATATTGCACAATTTAAGTCAGCGACAATGGTGTGTTCAGGTCGTAAGATGATCACGTGATACAGAAGGCATACTCACCACCCTGCATGTACTAGTATATGAGTGTGACATGCCACACCAGCTGTGCACCTTATGCTGAACCGATCAATTTTCACGATTGTGGTAAAACGTTAGCTCGTCTCACCGAAGTCCAAAGTTTGATTCCTCACATGTACAATGTGTGAAGCCCAACCCGGTGTCCCCCGAGGTGATACTTCTTCATTATTGTTGATTAAAAGCGGCGACTCAACACACTCACTCCCGAAGTGCTTAAATCGTTTTAGACCATTCCGCAGTGAGCATGAAGATAATCTTCAAAATCAGGTAACGAGTATTGACGAACTGATACTTGCAGATGTAGATGTATGCAAAACTTTCAGAAGGTATGTAGAAAATTATTCTTCACACATTTATGATTTCAGCCTGTGTCTCCACTGAAGAGGCGAAACTGACATTGACAGACACCAAAACCTTTAAAGTCCACCTGCCACCTGGATGCTCATCAACAGGACCGCCTTACACCCTTACCAGGCCATGCTTAGGGGTACATACAAAAGGAAACGCTCAGATTGAAATATTACATAGCAAAGTATACTTTTGGTCTATTGATAATTAGGACTAGGGGCATATTAATAGTTGTGTACGAGTCTATACTATCACATTACTATCATCTATACATACATCAATACTTTACATAATTTCGTTTTTGATTAACAGATTGTTGGGTCAGTGTAAAATGTGTAATTTCAATGCTTAATCAAATGTCTATCAGAAAACAGTCTACATATACAAGATACCACAGACGACAGCTTCGTTCGTCGGAGGCGACGGCACAATCGCCCTAACTATAACATGTGAGGTGCCCAAAGACGGGGTAACGGCCATGCCACATGTCAGTGTGAAGATGATGCCTTCAGTGACGTGAGTAGGATGACTTCATGACAGCATCTGTAGGTCAAGTCAGCTGGCTGTAGTCTCATTCTTATGCCCCCCTTTCACTACGACCACGAATATCCCGAATCATTCCGAATCGGAAACTTTCGAGATTCGTAATGATTCGGCCAATAATGCAAACTTTCGTGGCTAATCGGGGTGAAAAATATGAAGAATGCCAGGAATGGGTTAAGAAACATGTACGAATTACAAGATTCATGTACGGATCATGCTCGAATTGTGAGAATCACCTACGACTGAGTTACGAATATGCCGAATGTTGTTCTTACTTACATGATGCGTAGTTGACTCGGGACATTCGTGGCTGTTTCAGGATGTTTTCGGGTTGAGGACAAGACATTTTGGGAGCCACTGATCGCCAAGAATAGCCAAGAATGCAAAAGATCGATTACGAAGCTGTGACGGAACATAAGAAACAATTACGAATGAATTACGATACAGCCACGAAATTGCAATTCGGGGACCCTTCCACGAAAGCTTTTGACCAACAAAAACTTTCTCGCTGTTTGGGAATCAAATAAGTTTCATTTAAGAACTTCAAGAAATGATTGAGATTTATCTACAAAAATGAAAAATTTCCTATTCGGGGTGATTCGGGATATTCATGGTCGTAGTGAAATTGGGCATAGGATTATACAGTAATGTGCAACACTGTCATAGACAGCATTAATAGTTTCACATAAGGCGTCAGCAGATCTAAAATGTTGTCATCTGGTGGCAGAAAGGCACATCTAACATAGCATGTAGCAGTAACTGTTACATGCGGCTGTTGAAAGGGCCATTATTATGATACATGTAGGTCAACTGTTTACTATTACGTCTACCTTAGTTCAAAGATACGTCACAGCGTAATTGAAAATAACAACTTTGATGCAAGACAGATCAGCAAAACAAAGCCCTGTGACGTCAGCCATACTCAGTGTTGCTGGTGAGAGATCTCTCACTGACATTGCGTTTTCACTATATTTTCACCATATCTAGCATGGATGGCGCATTTTAATACTAGTTTAAAATATCAGTCTATCTGTGTTGATTTGTGAGCGATATGATTATTCCCCAACATTAATACTTATATGTATTAGGAATGACTGTCTCCCCACCCTAAACGTCGACCTGGCTGAGCCTGACTTACGTCCGTTACACGTCGCTGTCAATGGCTTCCAACATAGTTTGTGGGGTCTATTTACAAACTGCATGAACCATGAGGACAATCCCGTAGTCATGTTCACCATGAACCATGTTAACCTGACGATGTCCTGGCGGAAAGGAGGCTACTGACACAACCATTCATAGGTGGTACGCTGTTAAAAGTGCAGGTGACGACAATAGAGAGACTACTGACTCTTGTGACTGATGATTGTGTGGTCCTGACACAGTGGTTAGCGTGTACGGTACCTAATTGTGTGTGTTCTGAAATAGAATTCATCGTGAATGGTTAGCTGTGGTTCTGATATCGGACGCATACAACAATCTAATGGGTTATCAAAATCCATTGTCATAAGCATCTATGTCAATAGGTCGATGTTTTTATATGCACGGCTTTTGTGTGAAAAGGTTTAGTTTAAAAGAGGTATCGGTGGGAAAAATGATACCACTTTTTAACAAATCAGAATCAAGCATTCTTCAATGTCATGGTAAATGACAAACAACTGGTCATCAATGATGCATTTATCATTTGTGTCGTCAGTGTGTATGTGTTGTTTTCTATGAGGATAAAGGAATTATACACGGATGCGCGTTTATATATGCGTATGATTGCCAATGGTATAATGTTCGTGTGGTTCTCTCCAATAACAGTGACGTTTTCTCAAGAACCCCATGATCGCGTTTTCAACAGCTGTTGTTTGTTGATGATCATGGAAGTGTACATGTGACGGGGACACAGGTTGTAATAGTGTGTATGTTTGGTCTCAGTGTCAGTGTGGTTCTGTCCTATCCTGTCCATCACAATGTTTCAGACCAACGGTGGAGAACCACCCATTCACTGAGGTTACCATGGCACTGTCAACAACTGATCCTCACACACCTCTCACTACTCCAAGCCAGACTGCCCTGGGAGACCACTTGTATCTCGTCATCATGAGTGAACCAAAGAAAGGTGAATGTCGTATTATGAGAATATTAATGGAAAATTAACAAAATCCTTCGGATGGTTTAAAATCCGATGTCATTGGCTGTTATATTGCCAAAATGTTTCCAATCTATACGGATGTTGTTTTGGGACAATTTCGGGAGAATGATCCTTAATGTCTTTGATCGAATTTGATCTACGTCGCATTAATTGTTTTTTCTCAAACCCGCGCCTATGGCCAGTGTTAGAGGTCAGGTCGGGTCAAATGGTGTTAACGTCGTGATTATTTTACTCATATAACGACCTGCATGAACGTATGTATAGCTGCTTGTATATGTCTCGTGTTTTGAGAGCAATACCTCATCGCTATGGCCTGTAATGTGAATACAGTCTCTTCCACCTTTCTAAGACATGGATCTCATGGCCTTCGTCTGTAATCTGAATACAGTGTCCCACCTTTCTTAGACATGGATCTCATCGCCTTCGTCGGTAATCTGAATACAGTGTCCCACATTTCTTAGACATGGATCTCATCGCCTTCGTCTGTAATCTGAATACAGTGACCCACCTTTCTTAGACAGGGATCGCATGGCCTTCGTCTGTAATCTGAATACAGTGTCCCACCTTTCTTAGACATGGATCTCATCGCCTTCGTCTGTAATCTGAATACAGTGACCCACCTTTCTTAGACGGGGATCTCATCGCCTTCGTCTGTAATCTGAATACAGTGTCCCACCTTTCTTAGACATGGATTTCATCGCCTTCGTCTGTAATCTGAATACAGTTACCCACCTTTCTTAGACAGGGATCTCATCGCCTTCGTCTGTAATCGGAATACAGTGCCCCAACTTTCTTAGACATGGATCTCATCGCCTTCGTCTGTAATCTGAATACAGTGACCCACTTTTCTTAGACATGGATCTCATCGCCTTCGTCTGTAATCTGAATACAGTGACCCTTCTTTCTTAGACATGGATCTCATCGCCTTCGTCTGTAATCTGAATACAGTGACCCACCTTTCTTAGACAGGGATCTCATCGCCTTCGTCTGCAAAAGGAATACAGTGTCCTACCTTTCTTAGACATGGATCTCATCGCCTTCGTCGGTAATCTGAATACAGTGTCCCACCTTTCTTAGACAGGGATATCATCGCCTTCGTCTGTAATCTGAATACAGTGACCCACCTTTCTTAGACGGGGATCTCATCGCCTTCGTCTGTAATCGGAATACAGTGACCTACCTTTCTTAGACATGGATCTCATCGCCTTCGTCTGTAATCTGAATACAGTGACCCACCTTTCTTAGACAGGGATCTCATCGCCTTCGTCTGCAATAGGAATACAGTGACCCACCTTTCTTAGACATGGATCTCATCGCCTTCGTCTGTAATCTGAATACAGTGACCCACCTTTCTAAGACATGGATCTCATCGCCTTCGACTGTAATCTGAATACAGTGACCCACCTTTCTTAGACAGGGATCTCATCGCCTTCGTCTGTAATCTGAATACGGTGTCCCATCGTTCTTAGACATGGATCTTATCGCCTTCGTCTGTAATCTGAATACAGTGACCCACCTTTCTTAGACATGGATCTCATCGCCTTCGTCTGTAATCTGAATACAGTGCCCCACCTTTCTTAGACATGGATCTCATCGCCTTCGTCTGTAATCTGAATACAGTGACCCTTCTTTCTTAGACATGGATCTCATCGCCTTCGTCTGTAATCTGAATACAGTGTCCCACCTTTCTTAGACATGGATATCATCGCCTTCGTCTGTAATCTGAATACAGTGACCCACCTTTCTTAGACAGGGATCTCATCGCGTTCATCTGTAATCTGAATACAGTGTCCCACCTTTCTTAGACATGGATCTCATCGCCTTCGTCGGTTATCTGAATACAGTGACCCACCTTTCTTAGACATGGATCTCATCGCCTTCGACTGTAATCGGAATACAGTGACCCACCTTTCTTAGACATGGATCTCATCGCCTTCGTCTGTAATCTGAATACAGTGACCCACCTTTCTTAGACGGGGATCTCATGGTCTTCGACTGTAATCTGAATACAGTGACCCACCTTTCTTAGACATGGATCTCATCGCCTTCGTCTGTAATCTGAATACGGTGTCCCATCTTTCTTAGACAGGGATCTCGTGGCCTTCGTTTGTAATCTGAATACAGTGTTCAACTTTTCTTAAACAGGGATCTTATCGCTATAGCCTGTAATAGGAATACAGTGACCCACCTTTCTTAGACATGGATCTCATCGCCTTCGTCTGTAATCTGAATACAGTGACCCACCTTTCTTAGACGGGGATCTCATGGTCTTCGACTGTAATCTGAATACAGTGACCCACCTTTCTTAGACATGGATCTCATCGCCTTCGTCTGTAATCTGAATACGGTGTCCCATCTTTCTTAGACAGGGATCTCGTGGCCTTCGTTTGTAATCTGAATACAGTGTTCAACTTTTCTTAAACAGGGATCTTATCGCTATAGCCTGTAATAGGAATACAGTGTCCCACCTTTCTTAAACTAACCTGTTATACAGAATATATGTTTCCGAAAATACTTAGAAGTGGTATGGGTGAATAATTTTCAATGTTATTTTCATCCCTCTTCTCGTGTAAGGTACAGTGGCTGGTTTGGTCCATAACCTAGGAAATATACCTTCATCATACACTTTATCACAAAATATTTCCGAATATGGTATAAGTATGTTTCTTGGTGATTTAAAAAATCTCCACTCAAGAGGTCCATACCAGTTGCTTTGTTACATTGTAACGTTTTGATGCCAGTTAATATTTCATCTGCATGAATAGGGTAATTAAAATGTCACCAGTGACGTCAGTGACCAGTACATCAGATTTGACATTAAATACCCTTCTATCTTTCACGTGTACGACGTCGCTTTGGAAAAGACATTCAAAAATTATACCATGCATACATGTATTATTTTGTACCTGGTTGTCTTCTCTTGAGGTCTTTAGCCTCTTCCAGAACAATTTAGGATCGTCCACAGACTTTAAAATATCGTACAGTTCTTCATGTTCATACTGCTGCCTTGACATCTGACATACATTCTCATACGTAATTCTACCAGTGATATGCAATTTTTAATACCCTCCGTTTTTCTGTTTTCTAAAAAATTAAAGAGTGATATTTCTCTCGTTTGTAAGTTCACATCTACTTCAAATCATATAGATGGTTTGCTTGCGACACATGCTAACCTTTCTGCTCATACTGTCTGCAGAAACACCAGGAACAACTCAGTATCACTGTCAACATATATAAGCGTCTTATAAATAGCATCATCAAGTAGATGTGTACTTGTTCAGAGCAATGATAGAAATGTTTATGCATAATCCTCAGTTCACTTATATTTCATTTCTTTACATCCACATATTTACCAGCATTTGAAAGGTAAACATCAACAGACACATTGAAGGACACCGTGACAGGAAGACATTCTGAATCAGTGCGTGAGGTCATTTTGAAAGTTGCGAGTTATTAAAAGAAGATTACATGATTGATAACATTTTCCTATGATGTAAGGCCCTTCCTAACTTATACTGTTCAAAGCGGCGTTTTGTTGGGACATGTTTAAGGTCTAACCACGTTTAGATTACGAACATGTTTGGAATTTAAAAACACTTAAAAACATTTTGATAGGATGTTGTGGGTATGAAGCTATGTCATAGCCCCTTTTAAACGCGGTTTTAAACTGAATGAATGTTATTTCAATGAATAATTTGCTCTCTCAGAATACAATTAACGTTGTGTCTGAAATGTGAATATGGTACGCGACACGTTAACGTGTGACTCATATGGACAGAGGTTACCTTCAATGCTGGAAACTGGTTATAAAATCATGATTGACGATCCTCGTAATTAATCGATTAGCGTCATTTTGCTGTTTTCCAACATGCTGTTATTCTAAAAACTGTATTCCGAATTGGAATACGCAATTAATTATAACCACGACTGTTGCCTACAACTGTATTCTTATTGAAAAGATTAGAACAGTTGAGAACTTGAGAGAGGTTGCAACATCGTTTGTGTCCGATTATAGAAACTTGAGTTCGATTATTTGCTGTTTGGAGCTTCGGATCAATTTTCGATTATTTTATTTAATCAGAACACAACTAGTTACGTTTGACCATTGTTTTATTATTTCGACAGGAGGCAGCAACATTTTGATACCAGAGATATGTTCTGCGAAAGATGGGAAAGACACAGTAAAGTTGTGGAACCTCAAACAGGACGCTGGGTACGTATAACCAATGTTCAGCGAAGGAGCAGGCATTGAAATATGTAGATTATATTTTACATCCGACCGCAACAAATAATCACTCGGAAGCAGGCGTACAGACGTACAAAGAATACTGGGGTTGGATAACTATACTGAACAGATAAGACAGGCTCGATGCAACATAGACGGCAGTCAACATCGTTGACGAGAGCGACACTTCAGTGGTGCATGGAAAGAGACTTGGTGTTCATGTTGATCTCTGGTGTAAGGCACGTTCAAACGTTCCAGGAGTGTTCCGTACAGTTTCTGGGATCATTTGGAACTGTTCCTGCAAGTGGCTCTTGTGCATGTGACAGTATTTGCTTGGTGACGCGAGGCCCGCAAATTTTGCATTGCGTGCCACACTGAGTAACAAATGATATCAATCTTTACAGCTTGCACAGACATGTCAAGCACATTGTGATATGCATGCCATCTGACTTTTCATTGCAATGTTTGACGCCATGGGAAAGTTGATTTTTCACGTGCCCATTAACATTTCGTCGTTCTTTGAACGACTGGAAACAACACATGACTGAGAGACATCATTTACCTAAATATATTCGAATCATGTAACACATTTTATTATACTTTTGTATCTTTGTTATGTAACGCCAGACTCAGCAATAGTCCAGCTATGTGGCGGTGGCCGGAAATATATAAACGAATCTTGCTCAAACAAACCAGTAATTGATATTGTGAGCAACGATCCATACTGTCGGGCTCACATGACACACAATCAAGCGATTCACCGAGCCTGACCACCATATCCATTTGGTCGCCTTTTACAACAAAGCATAGGTTGCTGGGCACCATTGGTAATCCCCACAGGGATATAGTTTTGTCACCGTAAACTCATGATAAAAATACTTTATTTACTTCACTCGGGGTAGTTTCTATATAAATCCCACTGACAACAGTCACAATTGGAATTAATAAATTCCAGTAAATGTTTCATTTTGTCGAAGAAAGTAAAGCACACGGTACTCAATGTTTATAGCATTGGTCCTGGTGTAAAACAAAATTTCATAAACATCACGAAGATAGTTATTGTTTATAACGGATTGTCTTTCCAGGAAATGTGGTAGCCTTGAACCTACACTGATCGGGAATTTCACAGTTGCAAATACACCAGTGACATATGGAACGAAGACGGAGGATGTCGCATATGCAGATATATATGCTTTCATGTTCCCAAACAGTGGTACCATCACGTACGAATGCACTGTTCTGGTATGTCCGAAGAATGGAACTGGTCAATGCGCAACGGTATGTGTCACGCACTGCTGCTTCACAATATTCACGTTTCATAAATCGTTTCATAAATCAGTTGCAATGTATATCTAACCTGCAACCTGACGCATTAACCTGTTTCTTATTATCGAATTACAATGATAAGAACACATTGACCAAACGTGTTGATGTTTATATATCTGGTATATGTTGATATATAGCATGTCTGTAGTTGATATATTGTCCGACTACAGTTACAAATCTATCTTCAGAGGTTGAGGTCAATTTGTCACAAATGAAAGCACTAAGTTCCTCATTGATAACATCTATGTGGACTCTGGGGATTTAGGCAAGTAGTAGCATCCCCATGGGCATCACTTGCGCTCCCCTTCATGCTGATCTGTGTCTTTATGCACGTGAATGGACTTTCTGCTCGGATTGGCGAAAAAAAACAAGTTATGACAAAGAGGTTTAACAAATCTCCGAGCTACATAATTTCGGATGTAATTCAGGTTATGTATTTGTAGCTAATATGTATATTATGTATAATGCAGTTAATATTTGACAGATATACATATCATTGTTAGAATTCGTACTTTTAAACTATATGAAATTCTTAACATGAACGTCCCTTGCCTAGGAATGTACGTCTCCTGCATAGGAATGCACGTATGTTGAATGAAAGTCTCTTGCCTTCAAAAGTGCATCTCTCACATAGGAATGCACGTCTCCTGCATAGGAATGCTGTCTCTTGCATAGTAATGTAGTCTCCTGCTTATGAATGTAGTCTCTTGCATAGTAATGTAGTTGCTTACCTAGGAGTGTAGTCTCTTGCAAAGGAATGTAGTCTCTTGATTAGGAATGCTGTATCTTGTATAGTAATGTAGTCTCCTGCTTAAGAATACAGTCTCTTGCATAGTAATGTAGTCGCTTACCTAAGAATGTAGTCTCTTGCCTCGGAATACACGTCTCTTGCATGGAAATGTGAATCTCTTTCATAGGAATGTACAACTCTTGCCTAGGAATGTAGTCTCCTGTTTAGGAATGCTGCCTAGGAATGAAAGTCTTCGAATGTGCATCCTTCACATAGGAATGCACGTCTCCTGCGAAACAATGTACGTCTCTTGCAAAGGAATGCAGTCTCTTGCATTGTAATGTAGTCTCTTGCCTAGGAATGTAGTCTCTTGATTAGGAATGTACGTCTCTTGATTAGTAATGTACGTCTCTTGATTAGTAATGTACGTCTCTTGTTTAGGAATGTAGTCTCTTGATTAGGAGTGTAGTCTCTTGATTAGGAATGTAGTCTCTTGATTAGTAATGTACGTCTCTTGATTAGTAATGTACGTCTCTTGTTTAGGAATGTAGTCTCTTGATTAGGAGTGTAGTCTCTTGATTAGGAATGTAGTCTCTTGATTAGGAGTGTAGTCTCTTGATTAGGAATGTAGTCTCTTGATTAGGAATGTACGTCTCTTGCCTAGGAATGTAGTCTCTTGATTAGGAATGTAGTCTCTTGATTAGGAATGTAGTCTCTTGATTAGGAATGTACGTCTCTTGATTAGGAATGTACGTCTCTTGCCTAGGAATGTAGTCTCTTGATTAGGAATGTAGTCTCTTGATTAGGAATGTACGTCTCTTGATTAGGAATGTACGTCTCTTGATTAGGAATGTAGTCTCTTGCCTAGGAATGCAGTCTCTTGATTAGGAATGTAGTCTCTTGCCTAGAAATGTAGTTTCTTGATTAGGAATGTAGTCTCTTGATTAGGAATGTAGTCTCTTGATTAGGAGCGTAGTCTCTTGATTAGGAATGTAGTCTCTTGATTAGGAATATAGTCTCTTGATTAGGAGTGTAGTCTCTTGATTAGGAATGAACGTCTCTTGCAAAGGAATGCAGTCTCCTGCCTATGAATTTACGTCTCTTGCCTTGAAATGTACTCTCTTGATTAGGAATGTAGTTATGTGTTTATCTGGAGTGAAATGATGTCCGGATATGTGGAATGATATGATATCTGGAGTGAAATAATGTCCCGTTATGTGTTTATCTGAAGTGAAATGATGTCCCGTTATGTGTTTATCTGGAGTGAAATGATGTCCAGTTATGTGTTTATCTGGAGTGAAATGATGTCCCGTTATGTGTTTATCTGGAGCGAAATGATGTTCCATTATCTGTTTAACTGGAGTGAAATGATGTCCCGTTATGTGTTTATCTGGAGTGAAATGATGTCCGGTTATGTGTTTATCTGGAGTAAAATGATGTCCCGTTGTGTGTTTATCTGGAGTGAAATGATGTCCCGTTATGTGTTTATATGTTGTGAAATGGTGTCCCGTTATATGTTTATCTTGAGTGAAATGATGTCCCGTTATGTGTTTATCTGGAGCGAAATGATGTTCCATTATCTGTTTAACTGGAGTGAAATGATGTCCCGTTGTGTGTTTATCTGGAGTGAAATGATGTCCCGTTATGTGTTTATATGTTGTGAAATGGTGTCCCGTTATATGTTTATCTTGAGTGAAATGATGTCCCGTTATGTGTTTATCTGGAGTAAAATGATGTCCCGTTGTGTGTTTATCTGGAGTGAAATGATGTCCCGTTATGTGTTTATCTGGAGTGAAATGATGTCCGGATATGTGGAATGATATGATATCTGGAGTGAAATAATGTCCCGTTATGTGTTTATCTGAAGTGAAATGGTGTCCCGTTATGTGTTTATCTTTAGTGAAATGATGTTCCATTATCTGTTTGACTGGAGTGAAATGATGTCCCGTTATGTGTTTATCTGGAGTGAAATGATGTTCCATTATGTGTTTATCTGGAGTGAAATGATGTCCCGTTATGTGTTTATCTGGAGTGAAATGATGTCCGGATATGTGGAATGGTATGATATCTGGAGTGAAATAATGTCCCGTTATGTGTTTATCTGAAGTGAAATGATGTCCCGTTATATGTTTATCTGGAGTGAAATGATGTCCCGTTATGTGTTTATCTGGAGTGAAATGATGTCCCGTTATGTGTTTATCTGGAGTGAAATGATGTTCCATTATCTGTTTAACTGGAGTGAAATGATGTCCCGTTATGTGTTTATCTGGAGTGAAATGATGTCCGGTTATGTGTTTATCTGGAGTAAAATGATGTCCCGTTATGTGTTTATCTGGAGTGAAATGATGTCCCGTTATGTGTTTATATGGAGTGAAATGGTGTCCCGTTATGTGTTTATCTGGAGTGAAATGATGTTCCATTATCTGTTTGACTGGAGTGAAATGATGTCCCGTTATATGTTTATCTGGAGTGAAATGATGTCCCGTTATGTGTTTATCTGGAGTGAAATGATGTCCCGTTGTGTGTTTATCTGGAGTGAAATGATGTCCCGTTATGTGTTTATCTGGAGTGAAATGATGTCCGGATATGTGGAATGATATGATATCTGGAGTGAAATAATGTCCCGTTATGTGTTTATCTGAAGTAAAATGGTGTCCTGTTATGTGTTTATCTGGAGTGAAATGATGTTCCATTATCTGTTTATCTGGAGTGAAATGATGTCCCGTTATGTGTTCATCTGGTGTAAAATGATGTCCCGTTGTGTGTTTATCTGGAGAGAAATGATGTCCCGTTATGTGTTTATCTGGAGTGAAATGATGTCCGGATATGTGGAATGATATGATATCTGGAGTGAAATAATGTCCCGTTATGTGTTTATCTGAAGTGAAATGATGTCCCGTTATGTGTTTATCTGGAGTGAAATGATGTCCCGTTATGTGTTTATCTGGAGTGAAATGATGTCCCGTTATGTGTTTATCTGGAGCGAAATGATGTTCCATTATCTGTTTAACTGGAGTGAAATGATGTCCCGTTATGTGTTTATCTGGAGTGAAATGATGTCCGGTTATGTGTTTATCTGGAGTAAAATGATGTCCCGTTGTGTGTTTATCTGGAGTGAAATGATGTCCCGTTATGTGTTTATATGGAGTGAAATGGTGTCCCGTTATGTGTTTATCTGGAGTGAAATGATGTTCCATTATCTATTTGACTGGAGTGAAATGATGTCCCGTTATATGTTTATCTGGATAGAAATGATGTCCCGTTATGTGTTCATCTGGTGTAAAATGATGTCCCGTTGTGTGTTTATCTGGAGAGAAATGATGTCCCGTTATGTGTGTATCTGGAGTGAAATGATGTCCGGATATGTGGAATGATATGATATCTGGAGTGAAATAATGTCCCGTTATGTGTTTATCTGAAGTGAAATGATGTCCCGTTATGTGTTTATCTGGAGTGAAATGATGTCCCGTTATGTGTTTATCTGGAGTGAAATGATGTCCCGTTATGTGTTTATCTGGAGCGAAATGATGTTCCATTATCTGTTTAACTGGAGTGAAATGATGTCCCGTTATGTGTTTATCTGGAGTGAAATGATGTCCGGTTATGTGTTTATCTGGAGTAAAATGATGTCCCGTTGTGTGTTTATCTGGAGTGAAATGATGTCCCGTTATGTGTTTATATGGAGTGAAATGGTGTCCCGTTATGTGTTTATCTGGAGTGAAATGATGTTCCATTATCTATTTGACTGGAGTGAAATGATGTCCCGTTATATGTTTATCTGGAGTGAAATGATGTCCCGTTATGTGTTTATCTGGAGTAAAATGATGTCCCGTTGTGTGTTTATCTGGAGTGAAATGATGTCCCGTTATGTGTTTATCTGGAGTGAAATGATGTCCGGATATGTGGAATGATATGATAATTGGAGTGAAATAATGTCCCGTTATGTGTTTATCTGAAGTGAAATGGTGTCCCGTTATGTGTTTATCTTTAGTGAAATGATGTTCCATTATCTGTTTGACTGGAGTGAAATGATGTCCCGTTATGTGTTTATCTGGAGTTAAATGATGTTCCATTATGTGTTTATCTGGAGTGAAATGATGTTCCATTATGTGTTTATCTGGAGTGAAATGATGTCCCGTTATGTGTTTATCTGGAGTGAAATGATGTCCCGTTATGTGTTTATATGGAGTGAAATGATGTCCCGTTATGTGTTTATCTGGAGTGAAATGATGTTCCATTATGTGTTTATCTGGAGGAAAATGATGCCATCGTTGAAGTATTAAATTGATTCCATGTGTAACATCTAACCATTTGGTGTGGTGATGTGAAATGGGGTTTACCGTCGCGTCCAAAATGTTTGCACCTAAGTGGCGTCATACCAGCCAACCAGTTCTTGTTTTATCCCCTCACTGCCGTGCGCCAGGCAGTGTAGCAATTAGTTCTATAATTTAACGTCTCCGTCTGGTATGGCGTGGACGGAGATGGAACCACCGAGCTTTTGCTCTCCGGATAGATGCTCTATCCAATACACCACCAGATCAGTTCTGTTCACTAAACAGAAGTCGTATCACACTTGAGAGAATTATCGTTGTTCAGTTATGTGAGTTATTATCTCAGTGGAGCCATGTCTTTTGGCGAGGCCCATATTTGAAATGCGATAGCTCCATTCTATTCCATTGCACTAAGTAGATCTATAATTATAGATCTCTACCATGAAGGCAAAACACTTCACTTGGTTTTGTGGTTTCGGGGATTGAATTTACCGCTTTTATTTAGGATTGACTGTGTATTTTTTTGGTTCATTGAGGTATGAATCGAAAATCGATGCGCAAACTGTATGAATCCGCGTAGGGTGAAGGAATACATACTGTGGCGTGACATAATCACGCGTGACATAAATTAATTTATGCACATAACTTGATACCTCTACAAAGTCAGTAGCCAATCAACGGAGAGTATGATAAAAACAAAGTTCATAGGACCTGTCAATCAGGACAAGAGGTGAGAAGAACTGCAACAGTCAAGACTGAAACGAACCGGAACAAATATGTTCTGAAGAAGGCAGCTGTTACACGGGTCCTGGACGAGTCCACTGTTCGAGATAGCGCTATATAGTTTTTCTCTAAATCGGGATAAGCAGTCAAATTCATATTGAGAGGTGGTCGGGACCGGCGAATACGTTGGAGATATCGATACATTCGAGATAACAGATCTTGGGATAATGGGTTCCGACTGTCTTTAAAACCTGTATGATTATCACCCAAGTCCATCTGTCTTACCGTTCTTCAGAATTGCTTTGGTGCCGTTGTCGAACTGAAAACGGCTTTATTTACGTAGTAGTATGTAGTGTAATGATGTCTTCACTTTGAAAGGGTTATTCATCGTATATTACAGGAGCTGACATCAAACAACAACTGCTTGAAATCCACAGCTAGAAAACGTCGAAGTGTGAATAATGTGGGAAATACGACAGCCACTACACATTTCAGAAGGACAGTGTCGGCAACGCTAACGGTCTCTGACTTCAAGGGAATTTCCGAAGGTAACATATTGAGTTGATATATTGTTGATCATGAGTTCGAATCCTAGATTCTTGCCAAGTATGATCTTGGTTTGCTTGTACTACGCCCGTGCTCATGGGTTAAGTAACCGCCCACTATTTCTTCATTTAAACACACAGTATTGAAGTTTGGAATACAATATCTGATAATTTCCTGTTGCAGGCAGTAACGCAAGAGCGGAGGGTCTCCTCCTGTTGGTGCCCATGCTTACAAGCTTTCTCTTGTCAAAGTAAAATTCATCACTTAGACATGTGACTTCAGCGGAAGTATACACGGTATCCTGAAAATCGTATTGGAATTGTTTGAAGATCAACAGTTGATATATCTATTAATATGTCTGCATAATACATGACCAATCAGACACATTACAAATTACCCTTGGTCTTAATTGTATGAAATGTATGAAGTAGAAGTTCGAGGTGGAATCGATAAATTGCTACAACAGTCATTTTGTGTTTGTTCTGACACAGATATTAGATCCACAGTCTTTAAATTGGTTTACGATCACAGATTAGACATCACAAGAGCCGTTAGGTTAACTTCATTTTGCTTACTTGATGCTGTCCCTAACTTGTTGAGCTGACAGAAAGTAGAATGAGATTATGTATGTCTGTCGTAGTACCCTCTCAAGAAACTGGGCAAACGAAGCTGAAGTTCACATTCCGGTCCTACCAATGATGACGCTTGAATGTGTTCAATCTGATTTCCAATAAGGGATCAATGGTAGCCATGTTGAATGAACATATATTAATGATCATATTTCGACCATCTTGTTTTAAAACAGTAACGGAAGCTTGCAGGTGTAATTCGTAGTGGAACTCAACACATAGGTTCTTTGTTTGTTAAATATTGATTATTTAATTTGGACCTCAATTTGATTTATTTAATTCTCTCAAAATGTATCCTTGGCTGTGTAACCATCTTGTGCAGCTCACCATTGGGATGCAAGATTCTTCTTGTGACGTCATCGTATTTTGTTCCAAACATTGCTCTTTCTGTTTAACAATTAACAATCAAACATCTTATTTCAATAATCATAATGCTTAGAAACCTGGACCTTTGTGTAAACGATAATTGCTAATAGAATATTCAAGTGTATGGACGTGGCATCATGATCGACTTCCAACTTCGGTGCTGTAGAGGTTTGCAAAAATTTGCAGAAATACTGCATAGTAGAATAAATATCTAATTATGTAATTTTTCTATATAAAAAAAAAATAAATTTTAAAAATCAAAATTTCGAAATTTTAGAAATCATATAACCAAGGGTATGGAAACATTTTGATTGAGAAGGTTAAAGTTTGTGGAAACATTTTCTCATGTATCCAGATCACGTTCGCATAACAATGCTATATTGGTTGTTATGTAGTCAGTGTCCAAAAGACAGATATGCACAAACATGTTTGCAAAATGTAGGACCTGACTAGAATAACATATTGAAACGATAACAAGAAAACTGTCCAATTTTTTCCCTTTGCTTAGAAATTCCCGCACCTGTTATGAAAATGTTTTTATCCAGGTGTGTCAAAAGAAAGGTACAAACACTTTTCTCGTTTTCTCGGCTGGCTGAGCTATCTGATACTTTACATGGATGTTTCTCACCATGATGGGGTTCATTTTGGTGAAAGGTGTCAAAATAAAATGCTTCTCTTTTCTGAAACAATTTGAAACAAATGTGTGGCAATAAACAAAGTCATCTCCTTAGAGGGCGCCTAAAACTCAAGGTGAAATGTTGTGTATGCCAACAATAGTATACACATTTAACATATCTATTAACTAATCTTCATTGTTTGTGCCGTAATCTACTTGTATTTGAATGTCAGTTTTTGTAAATGAATGCGTGCAGGTGAGCTACAGACCATTGTCACTATTATCATCATATTCGCATTAAAACTTATACTTTGAGAACATATATCATAAAAAACATACAGATACACATTTTTTTAGAATGTGTCTTGTCACATTTACTGTTTCATTTGCGTTGAGACATGTTTTTAATAATGTGTCTAGAGTCTGCATTTCGATTTTTTTTCGTAATGTTTTATTTGTCTCCACATGAACACAAAATCCTTACAACATATAACCAATAAACATTTCAATGTACACAAGGTGGTATGTGTTGAGTAACAGAGCACCCACAGAGGATGGGACCCGTGAAGATCCGGGATAGAATAGGTCTTCAGCAACCCATGCTTGTCGTAAAAGGCGACTATGCTTGTCGTAAGAGGCGACTAACGAGATTGGATTGTCAGGCTCGTTGACTTGGTTGATGCATGTCATCGACCCCAAATGCGTGGGTCGATGATCACGATATCAATCACTGGATTGTCTGGTCGAGACTCGATTAGTTACAGACAACAGTCATATAGCTGGAATATTGCTGAGTGCGGCGTTAAACAACAAACAGCAAATTCTATTTGCAACGTTGCTCAAGCAAATAATTATGACCGCAAAATGTCGCAAAACAACATTGATGGGACATTTCTCAATGTCGTTTATACAACGTATTGCCCCTCTATGTGTTTCTCTGGAGTGAAATGATGTCCCGCTGTGTGTTTCTCTGGAGTGAAATGATGTCCCGTTATGTGTTTCTCTGGAGTGAAATGATGTCCCGCTGTGTGTTTCTCTGGAGTCAAATGATGTTCCGTTATGTGTTTATCTGGAGTGAAATGATGTCCCGTTATGTGTTTATCTGGAGTGAAATGATGTTCCGTTATGTGTTTATCTGGAGTGAAATGATGTCCCGTTATGTGTTTATCTGGAGTGAAATGATGTCCCGTTATGTGTTTATATGGAGTGAAATGATGTCCCGTTGTGTGTTTATCTGGAGTGAAATGATGTCCCGTTATGTGTTTCTCTGGAGTGAAATGATGTCCCGCTGTGTGTTTCTATGGAGTCAAATGATGTTCCGTTATGTGTTTATCTGGAGTGAAATGATGTCCCGTTATGTGTTTATCTGGAGTGAAATGATGTTCCGTTATGTGTTTACCTGGAGTGAAATGATGTCCCGTTATGTGTTTATCTGGAGTGAAATGATGTCCCGTTATGTGTTTATATGGAGTGAAATGATGTCCCGTTGTGTGTTTATCTGGAGTGAAATGATGTCCCGTTATGTGTTTATCTGGAGTGAAATGATGTCCGGTTATGTGTTTATCTGGAGTGAAATGATGTCCCGTTATGTGTTTTTCTGGAGTGCGGCGTTAAACAACAAACCAACCAACCCAACCAACCAACAGAGGATGGCCAGGTACAGCATATAGATAGATAGATAGATAGATAGATAGATAGATAGAAAAAAAAGGATACACTTGAGGGAGAGGGCTATACTAATTACCGTACCACAGGAAGAGACCTGTAGACGTGAGCACGGGGTTGTGTGTAAGATGGCCGTCGCATAATGGCCGCCAGGAGTGGTAAACATTGAGCTATAGCAGTGTTGTTTTCACGGGCCTGTTGAATAAATTTCCGGCGCTGCTGTCCATATATCTTCTACTTGATCCTGCATACATCATTTTGGCATTTACATTATAATATTTTTCAACGTACATTAATGGTTTACTAGTCATAGATTTTAGAGTATTTGTCAATTGTGGTGAACGTACAAGCAATAATTGTAATTTGTGGTGACATCTAAATTTAAACGTCTCATTTAAAACAATAAGTAAGTACAATAGTAAATAATAATATTCAAATCGCATTAAACTACAATGAGACATCATCTTAATATGACTATATATGCAAATGTTACGAAACTGTACCTATCTTCACGAATTATTACAAAAGGGGCATAAAGTTCACGGAGACGAAGGCTATAGATACAATACCATATTTTATTTTTTAGATGATAAAGTACATCATTTGATAATGAATTCAGTTATTGATATCTAAAAACCGATTTTCCATATTAATAAACATTTCATGATAAAAAACAATCAAATGTGTGACATAAATTCATTCTTTAGTATCCATAAATGAATTATTGATATCATATAACGAATAAATAGTAAAAAGGCGCCCTATATATTGTTCTTTGTGGACTGTATTAAGTAACGCATTTGCATCACGGTTATAATGTTAATTGCTAGTCTTTTTTCTGCACCATCATTTCTTTCATCTTATGAAAAAATGTTTAAAAAATGGCAACTTATAATTAACTTATATATAGCACTGGTATAAATAAATAGTACACACACTAATTTAATGTCACAACTGGCCTCACTCTGTCACATACAGCACTAAAACTAGTATATTTCAAGTCTCTTAACCAAGTTTGAGAAGATGACCAACAGCATCAAGGAACTCGATAGGGGTTTTCTGTCCTTGAGTCAACATGTCCTTAAGACGTCTCAGGCGATTTTCAGTCTCTCTGTAAACTCGCTTCCTGCTGGGTGGGGCGGCACCAATGTCTAACTGTTTTTTTCCTGTCTGCACACTCAATCTTCTTAATCACTTCTACAAATCGGTAGATATTCGGGTGGGGGTGGGGTAAGGTTCTGTTAAGGCTATGGTGAAATCCCTCAAGATTGTTGTTGGTGCGAGGGCCGGCTGTCTGGTGGTGATTCAAGAGAGGTATTGGAAACCGAGCATCATCGTCAATTGATGACCATATAGTCATTGAAGTCTTCAGTTCTCGGAACTGGTGGAGTTGCCTGCTTAGCATCCAACCAGGTGTCCTGGACATCACGCAAGGGCAGGAGGGCAAGTCCAGCAGCTCTTCTGATCCAGGATCTTCCTTGTACTGTACTGCTAATCCAAGATCCTGTGTCTTCCGCCAGATCGCCTGACAATAATGAAAAAAACAACCTTTGACGTCGGCATTCGGGAACTCTGTGTTGACGGCACGAATGGCAGCCTTCTCAAAATCCGTCTGGACAGTGGCAGGAGCGAGGGGACGGTTGAAGATAGATCAGATAAGATAAGATAATATTTTATTTGCGTGTCACGCAGTATAAAAATACATACATTCAAAGTACAAGACAAAATATTTAATATACCACCTGGCCGGTTGGCCTATGAGACACGAGAGATAAAAAAATAGCTCAGTTTTATATGAAGAGATTATGCTAGTATCGCTTAGTGAGATACTTGTGGATCAGAAGTGCACTACTTACAATGCAAGTTGAATGTTATACATAGCAGTAGCAACTGCGGCTAGGGGAATAGCTAGACTGTCATTCTGAATAACATATATAAATTGGTCTTCTGGGGTTAAACTTCTTTGACAAGTATGTATTGGAGAAAACAAATGAGAATAGTCATATCGTAGATCAGAGTAGAATTCACATTCTGTGAGGAAATGTACTTCGTGTTCGACACACTGGCGGTCACATAACCTACATAAACGGAGGTGTAGTGGTGTCTTTGGACGGGAGTAGCGACCAACTTCAACCTCCAAAGGGAGAGAACTGCAGCGTAGTTTTGCCAAGGTACTACGTTGCTGTCTGTCTA